ATACGGGCAGAAGTGACTTCGACGTCATCTTTAAAGGAGAATATGGGCCAGGCTGAAAGCAGAAACACAGATGCACCTTTGACGGATTTGAGGTCCTTTGAAAGCAGATCGGCGGCAGTAAGCTGATCAATTCTCGGTCTCAGTTTATGTTTTTGAATAATGAACAGCATGCATGACAATGATTATTGATTCGATCAAACCAACAATGTTGAAAATGGCTTTCCTTAGACCAACTTAACATGAACATGATAGCCTACACTCTGGTGGAGGTGGTACCTTTTCAAAAGGTACAAATTTGTACCTTAAAGGTCCATATTAATACCTCAAGGATACATATTAGTACCTAAAAAGTACAGAAGTCTTCCTTTTAAATATTTTAGGTACTAATGTATACTTTTAAAGTACCAATATGGACCATTTAAGTACAAATGTGTACCTTTTTTAAAAGGTACACATTTGTACTTAAATGGTACAAATGTGTATAATGTCAACCCAGTGACAGCTCGCATACTTTTATTTCTCAGTTTAATGACCAGCTAAAATCACTAAACCAGCAAGCATGTTCTGCAGTCTGATTTTCCTACTGGTTTGGAACTTAGTTATAATTCTGCTTTTTAGTTTTCAGGTGTGATGGCAGTTGTTCCTCTAACTGTTGTTGAGGAGATCTTGCTGAACCTGCCTGCTCGTGTAGTGAATGAATGTCGTCTGGTGTGTCAAGAGTGGAAAGAGCTGGTGGACAGTTCTGCACACTGGAGAGAGCGCTGTCGCAGAGAGGGCATTCAGCCCTGCAATGCTTCCAGACCGCCAGAGGATTGGCGCCAGTTTTACTTTATGACTAAGAAACGACGAAACCTGATCAAGAATCCTAAAGCTGAAGGTGAGTCACGTCTATATCATTGACATTTGACAATTGACAAAAATTCCAGTGACAGAGATAAACTGAGATAAAATAAAGTTAGCTTTCATATTTTGACTATTTCTGATGTTTTATTTATGTAAAGTAATCGCTTAGTTTTAGTCAACAATAACCTTAATTTACATAAATCAGTTTGAACAATAAATGTGTTGATTAAAATGTGATATATATATATATTTTTTGCTTTCTTCTGTGATGTTTTGTTAGATTCACTTACAGGATGGGAGTTTGTAGATAATGGAGATGACGGGTGGGTATCAGGAAAATAGGAAGCCATTTTCAGATGACAGTCAACCAAATTTTGCCACATCTTATGAGTATGTTTGATGTTTCAGATGCTTCAGAAAAGTTTTTTAGCATTAGGGATATTGAAATCAGTCATCAATTACAATGTACATATAAATCACTAACAGACTTTTTTTCTCAGGTTATGTTTGAAAAAACAGCTGATTGATTTGCAGAAAGAAGGCTACAGCACTGCTTTCATGGATGAGGTGCAACCTCACATCAAAATCTCAGACTGGTGAGCATTTA